CATTTACCCAGAATGCTTTGTGTGGAAATAAAATGGCCCTGTCCGTTTAATACATTTTTAAACTTTTAGTTTAAAAATGATAAAAACTAAACATCCTACAGTATTTTTACAGTCTTTATTTTACAGTTAATGTATATATTTATCATATAAAGTCTAATGTTACAACTAATTGGGTTTTCACTCTGGTCTGCAGGATGGGAGCGAATTGGCAGCGCATCCGCAGCATCTTGAACCCCCGCATGCTGAAGCCCAAACACGTCTCCTCGTACTCGAACACCATCAACGAGGTGGTGACGGACTTCATCGGCAGGCTGGCCTGGCTGAGGGACACCGGCGGACAGGGACACATGGTGAACGACCTGACCGGAGAACTTTACAAGTTTGCTTTTGAAGGTGAGCAGTGGGGTGAATGCCATGGTTTGGTTTGATTTAATAAGAAAAACACTTGTTTTTTCCTAAAGTAACTGTGACAAACACAGAATGTTAAAACCGTAGCGTCTAAACTAAAAGAATGGGAGATAAAYGAAGAATAAACTTGGAAACCCTATCAACCTTATATTACCTTTCATCAAATCTAATTGGACAGATTTCTTAGAAGAGGAGGACTTTTCTAAGAACTCTTCAGCCCTTTGCTGTAGCATTTGTTTGGCCTTCAGAGCTGATTAGATACCATGAGATATCGTGACACTGTCGATAGGTGAGCACGTACCTTTGACCGAGTAGTGTCGTATCAGGTTCTTGTAACATTTCACAAACGTCCTTCCTTTGAAAGTCAGGTCTAAAAAAATGCTGATGTTCGAAAAATATATATATTTAGTATAAAACAAATATAAGATAAGATAAGATAGACCATATTGTCATCGTACAGAGCACAATGAAATTACAGTTCAGAACACCCATTCAAAAGAGACCTGAACATAAAAAACACAGAACAGGAAATATGATCTTACACTAGTGCATTTATTGGTTGAACATCCAAACATTTTCTAATCCTTATTTTGAGCATTTATTCTTCGTTTTTGATTTAAGAAATCYAAAGAAGATTTTAAGAAAATGCCTCAGCACACTGCAGCATTTTGTCCAAATCACATTTAACATCAGGGCTTGAGGGATAACTTCACAAGTAAGGTGAACAAAATACATTTTGTATTTTGTGAATCAAATATTACTACACTGTATTAAAT